GCTTCCCCCCCCCCCCCCGCTCTCTTGGGCCTGGGAGGCCGGCCGGTCTGGAAGGGGCCGGGCAGAAGGTGGTGTGTTGCTGGACAACAGAGGCTGCCCCACAGCTCAGCCGGCAGCAGGCGCCGTGGCCGGAGGAGGCCCACGCCCCTCCACAAGTGAGCCGCCCAGTGGCCGATCCCCTTGGAAGGCTGACTCAGCCCAGGAGACGCAGGGAACAGAAGCGGAGGCACCGTGTGCACACCCTCCCCTCCACGCCATTATGCCAGTGGGAACCGACCCCCTACCCGCAGGCCCTTGGGGCTTGCTTCCTCAAAGCGTCCCACAGTTCCCTCGTTCATAAGAGTCTGTACTAATTGACCTGGAACAAGCCGTAGCTCGGCCCGCCTGTCACTAACCGGTCCCCCCCCCTCTGGGCCTGTTCTTGAAGACCAGGGCGATGCCTGCGACTTTCCAGTCGTGCAGCACAGAGGTCGGTTTTCACAACAAGTTACAAGGAGAAGAAGAAGATTGGCTTTATACCCCACCCTTCAGCGGCTTACAACAATCTCCCTTCCATTCCACAGACACCCTGTGAGGCGGGTGGGGCTGAGAGACCTCTAAAGAAGCATTCGTGAGAGAACTGCTCTGAGAGAACTTGTGAATGACCCAAGGTCATCCAGCAGCTGCACGTGGAGGTGGAGTGGGGAATCAAAGCTGGTTCTCCCAGATTAGAGAGCCGGTTTGGTGTGGTGGTTAAGTGTGCGGACTCTAATCTGGGTGAACTGGGTTTGATTCCCCACTCCTCCTCCACTCACACCTGGCTGGATGACCTTGGGCAAGCCGTAGCTCTGATAAGAGCTGTTCTTGAGAAAGAGCCGTTTCTGTCCAGAGCTCTCTCAGCCCCACCCGCCTCACAGGGGGCCTGTCTGTTGTGGGGAGGGGAAGGAGTCTGTGAGCCGCTCTGAGACTCCCTTGGGTAGTGAAGGGCCATGGGGTATGAATCCAATCTCTTCTTCTTCTTCTCCTAACCACTACACCAAACTAGCTGTCAGTTGGCTGATCAACAATGTCATGTTTGAGTTCCCCGAGAGCCCTCGGGGGGGGGGGTGTGATTGAGGTTTATAAGATTATGCATGGGAAAGAGCAGGTAGAGAAAGAGGTACTTTTCTCCCTTTCTCACAAGACAAGAACTCCTTGTGGGCACTCCATGAAACTGCTGAGCGGTCGGGTCAGAACGGATAAAAGGAAGTACTTCTTCACCCAAAGAGTGATTAACACTTGGAATTCATTGCCACAGGAAGTGGTGGCGGCTATAAGCACGGATGGCTTCAAGAGGGAATTAGATAGGCATATGGAGCAGAGGTCCATCAGTGGCTATGAGCCACAAGGTATAGATAGCGGCTAATCTGGGGCAAGTGATGCTCTGTCTTCTTGGTGCTTGGGGGGAAGAGCAACAGTGGGAGGGCTTCTGGTGTTCTGGCCCCACTGGTGGACCTCCTGATGGCCCCTGGTATTTCTGGCCACTGTGTGACACGGAGTGTTGGACGGGATGGGCCTCTGGCCTGATCCAACACTGGCGTCTCTCTGATGTTCTTGCAGTGGGGCAGGAAGCACGGCGCCACTTGGGGAGGGTCACCACACCCTTCCTCCGCACCTCCCCCAGTTGTAATCTGCCTTCCTTCTTGCACCTTAAAAGGAACATCCAGAAAAGGCCACGAGGGGATTGGGGAGGGCGGGCCTTTTCCGGACCGTGACTGTGGCTTGCTCAGCTTCACTTGGCGTGGCCTCCACCACAGAAGGACAGAGGAGACCCCTCTAAGGAGCCCCTTCCCCCTCACTAGGGGAAGGAGAGGAGGACTCCCCAGAGCAAAGGGCGCCATCCAGCCGTTCTCCAGGCCGGACCTTTGACTTTTTTTTGGGGGGGGGGAGAAAGCATCCCAGCCAGGTGCGGAGGGTGGGGCAAGACTGCTGACCACGCTTTGGTGGGCCCCACAGGAGCCCACGGGGTCGATTCTGTCTCCCCCCCCCTCCCCGGGAGGGAACGCACCTGTAGACGGGCTGCATCTCCCGAGCGATGCCGATCACGGCTCCTTCCGGGAAGTTGTCGAATTCTTCAAACAGCTCCCGGATGTTGGTCCGATACTCCACGTCCAGGTCCACCTGGATGATCCGCGAGATCTCTGGAAGACAAAGGAAGGGGCGGTGGGATCCACCCCCACCTCTCACAGCTCCCCCCC